GAACCACAACCTTCTGATTAGTGGACGACCCGCTCTTCCTCTGAGCCACAGGCGCCCTTAAGATTAGACCCAGAATCCAGTCTCGACTCACCCTGTGACACAGAGACTGACAGACCCTGTGAGCCGGGCTTTTCAGCAGCAACTGGAGGCTTGGAGACAGGGATACCAACTCCTCCGATGTATGGGTTGTACCCATATGTGCCATAGTCAGCACCCCAGTAGTCATACCAGGTGCTGCTTATAGGCTGAAAACAGACATGAGAAGGAAGGGATCAGAAACAAGAGGGCAAAAGGATTACGATCACTGTACTGTCAATCCATACATTCACTTTCAAAGAACAAAATGTTGTTCTTATTTCATGAATAGATTAAATAAATTCGGAATTTCCCCATTGTGGGACAAATAAAGGAATATCTTATCTTATCTTAAATTAGGAACATTTTAGGGAAAAAGGAGTAATGTTATGATATAAACTTAAATATAAGAATAATGAGTAATTAGTTCTTATCACTTCAGTTAATTTTATTAACTAAATAAAATCTTAATCCTCAACTTTGAAATTACTACACTATTATTGAAATTTGACTTTTCTTGTAAAATTGTGTTTATAAAATATAAAAAAAATTCTTGATAACATATTCTTAATACTTTTTACTGCAAACATACAACTAACGTATAATATCCTGCCTCTCTCTTATAAAATTGTAATTTCATTCTTTTCTGTCACACTGAATCTAAAAATCTGATTTATCCCATCTCTGTTGCTCTAAAACGTCATTGCAGCTACATGGCTGTTTATTTCAGTCAGCAAGTACTGATGCTGCATTTACTGCAATCAATACCGGGACAGTTTTGTGTACTAAGTAATGACCAAGAGAATAGAATAACCAAGAGAATAGAATAATAAGAGAAGATGATAAGAACATACCTTAAACACTTTGGCAGCGAGTGGATCTTTTTCCAAATCAATATCTAAAGGATCAATATCAACATCCATCAGGTCTTGTAGTAAGTCAAAGTCTATGTCTTTATCTTTTTCCAAAGATGACAGAGGTGGAGCACCTTTGGATAATAAAAACAGCTTTAATATTACCACGCAAGCACACTAGGGAAACATACAAGCAAGAGAGACTCTTTCTTTAGCACATTACTAGGCAATTATAATGCTGATCAAGCTATTAATTTCAATACTGGAGGGTATAACAAATAAAGCCATACTGTGGAAAAAAACAGCGAAAAAAAACAAAAAACATTTTACCACACAAATACTTTATAGTTTGATGATAAAAAGTGTGGGTTCATATCAACATTTGTGTGACAGTGAGGAGAGTGGACAGGGCTACCCACGCACTTTGGAATACTGAGGAGGTCCCAGTAGTACCTGCGATGATATCAGGCACAAGGGCCTCGTCGATGCTCTCTACCAGGGGGATGGGTGCCGGCTGGGGAAGGGAGTCGTCCGAATCGGCGCCCGCTGAGGAGGATGATGCTCCCGCCTCCTCACCCAGTGCCACCTCATCCATGACATCCAGAGAGCCTGGAGACAGCAGTTCACCTGGGAGACAACGAGGTTCACACTTTACTTACACCTGTTAATTAGACATTTATCAATCGACAAAACTGAGAACAGGCAATATGGCCCCAAGTTGTTAAAAGACAATAATTAACTTAAACAACAGAATCATGCTGGTGCCCGTGTGAGGCTATACTATACAGCTAAATGCTTCCATCAGAATGCTTCTAAAGACGAAGCTAAAATGTTGATGATTAGCAGGATGATGTGGCATTTGTTACGGTCAAGAAAACATGACCATGTCGGGAGAATTAGTACTTTATTATAAAGATTGCAGCTTCTGCTATTTGGATACTGCACTTGGCAATACTGCAATTTCTATAATATTTCAAATTGTGCAGCCCTATTTTGCAGGTATTTGGTCCTGACAGACAGACTGACAGAAATCGCTATCCTTATAACAATAATGCAGGCATGGCTAATAAAACCCCAAAACTACATCAGTAAAAACTAACCCAACAGGAAATATCCACATCAAAACCTTCAAATACAACAAAAACTATTTGGTGGCTCAGGAAAAATTTAAAAACTATTTTATTATCAAACAATGTACAGATCATTTTCTAGATTAATCGATTAGTTGGTTCAGTCCATAAAATGACAAAATTGTGAAAAATGTTGGTCACTGATCCCAAATCCCAAGGTGAACACTAATCGCAAAAGCGTGCCGCACACTGAACCGGAAACCTCAGACAGAGGGTCAATACAAACACACCAGAGACAGACAGATTGTTTATCAAGTGACAACTGATGTGAAAGTTAGCTGAGAATTGAACGCACCTGCCAGGATGTCCTGTAGCATACAGGTGAGGGAATACTGTGCCCAGGCTCCCCCCCAGGAGATGTCCCCCCGGTTGAAGTCGGTCCCTACAAGCAGGAGCAGCAGACGTTCCAGTTGCTGCTCAGACACCACCTCACACAGGTGGATTGTGGGTCTCGTGGCGTTGGCTATCCTAGCAAGGACCTGAGGGTGTGTGTAAGTATGTATTACTGGATTTATGGGTATTCAGAGAGGACGGAACTGAAGGAGTCCATATACGACGATTGAATACCTTGCAGACAAACAGCAGCAGGTCAGCGTGGCAGGTGAAGTCCATGGAGAGGAGGAAGAGGGCCAGCTTCTGCACCACACATATGCAGCGTTCATGGGACAGTGTAAAGGGCAGAGGTTCTACTTCTGGGGCTTCTTTGGCTGTTGTGGACTCAGTGTCCAACGTGGAGCGAGGCCATTCGGCTGTCCGTCGCAAACGGATCAGGTCTTTAAAGTGCTGCAGGAGGATGGGAAAGTGAACATGGAATTATGAGACTTTAATATTGTGTATTTGAGGAGCTCTACCAGTTCAAATTTCAATTCATGCAGCACTTGTTTTCGTTCAGGCCCTGTGGATTCTTGCAGATCCTATTGGGAGCACTAGGAGGAGCCAGAGGAACCTGATTGTGTCACAGATTATCTGTCTCATGTTCTACTGTCAGGATATAGTGAGAGTTTCAACAAATATGACAAAAGTAATTTTTTAGAAAAGTTACCTAGTGTAGCTTCACACAAGGTATGTCGAAATCAACATTTCACATCTCCACGACCGGGTAGGCAAAATCCCATCATATTAGACAAACAAAATGATGAACAAAAATACAAAACAACAAAATCTTAAGAATCAAATTTACCCCATTGTCTTCACACTTCTACACTGCATTCAAATGCAATCATAAAACATGGAGGCCAACCATTACAAAACACACCATCCTTTCTTTAAGATGTAATTTCTGAGCGTGTGGCGCTGCACTCTATACAGAGCAGAGACTAATGAACTGCTCACCTTGGATGTGGCTTGTTTGAGCTTGGCCTGTTCCACCAGCAGTTTGTAGGAGGAGCCTTTGTTGCTCTGGATCTTCTCCTTCTCGATCTGCTCAACCAAAGCTTTCTGTTTTGCTTTCAATAGGTTTAACTGCTACAATAAAAAGGGCATGATAAATATAAGCACTGCAAAAGCATTCGCTCCAAACAACCCATGTAATACTGCAGCTCCATGAATCAAACAGATGAAAAACATTTTCCTATGGCTTCTAATTTAGGACCAGACTTATATGCACACATTCCTTCATTATGCCGTATCTGACTCAGGGTATATACAGAAATTCTTACGTTGAATTTAATACCTTTTAATACCTTTTTTAATACCTTCACAATATTTTTTAATACCAACACGACTTCGAGCTGCAACTGTAGTGGCAACCTTTCGAACTTCAGTGTTGGGGGTAACTAATTATAAAGTAACAGATTACTGTCACGTTGTTACTTAACTTTCTGAGTGAATAAGTGTAGTAATGCTTACAATTCAAATCAAGTACCTATTATTACTGGATACTTTGTTACTTTTTTGCCTCAATAAAAACACTGACCTATACACAATTATTTGCTATTTAATCCTAACCCAAGACAAAAATTATTTCATTGTTATGTGTAGGAAGAGCACACACCACTTCTCCAGCGCTACACTTTCTTTCACTATCATTCTATCTCAATGAAGACAAAATGACAATGAAAATCAGAAAAGGTTTAAAAAGTTTAAAAACAGAAATGTTTAATTAAAGGACTTCTGTAAAAAGTAAAGTGACGAGTATATAAAATAATAATAATTCCTTTCCAAAAGGAGTAATGTAGCAGTGAGGAGAAAGGGAGAGAGAGACCAAGAGAGAGAGA